ACTACTACTCTCTCTCTCTCTCTTATTTATAATTTCGATTCACAGTTTTCAATCTACGCTCATTGATCGTCGCGATGACTGTGTTCCACGATTTGAGAAAAATTCAAAGTATTCCGACACTTTATTTAGAGTATTGAGGATGGAGATTTTTAAGAGGGACGAGAACGTTTACGTCGTCGTTTACGTCGTCGACAGCGACCGTCTGTCTCTTCTTGAATCGCGAATCGTAGTCATGACGGAGAGACAGGACTTGATAATGACGTTTAAAGGATGACACGCGCTGCGCTCCTAATTGGGGATCCTCGAGTTAGATTAAAACACAAAGAAAAGCAGGAACAATAGTTAACGATAACGAACGTTAGCTCGACCCGTCCTTGAAGAATTGTCCTCCGTGCGAGTTTCCTCCTCTTTTTTACCGGCGAGTCTAGAAAGACAAGGCCGGTCCGAACTTTTTCGTTGTTTACAATGCTTTACGGGCGCAATTGTCATATCAAACTCGCACCACTTCTAATATATACTGGACACAGTAAATGGACTTAATCTATAATTAACGATAACAATAACAATAATTTAAGGGTAAATAAATATGATAGTAATAAGATAAGGCCTTAACGATACATAAACAGCGTGGAGAATACGATCGATTTGACATTGCGCAATCAAATCGACAATAGTGGTTTTTTTTTCCGTCACTTTAGATTAGATCTCTTTTGAACTTTAAAATTTGTGTATTATCTTTGTTTATCTCTATTTTTTTTTCCTTTTTCTTTTTCGCGATAAGCAGAATTATTTCAAGCCACAGACTGAGCAAAATTGTTTGACGTAGTATTTTAATCGATGTTACACTTTTTTTTTTTAAGTTTCTTGATTACTTGCAATAACTCTTTTGCAATATCTATGCCTCCTCTTACGTCAATTGCTTTGTTCGATTAGTCTTAGGAAAGAACGAGTTTGCGAGACGGGTGTGATTGTGAAGACGCGCGAATGGGTGAAACGACAAAATCGACAGGGAGACCGATATCAAAAAACGCGCGATTTCGACTTTTTCGATTGCTCGCTCCGTATCTATAGTTTTGTAAGGTGAAATCCTCGGTATCTATAGCAGCCAACACACGACGGTCGCGCGTCGAGGTGACGATCGACTGACTCGATCTACGACGTCGGAAATTATTGAAGGAAAATATGTTTCTACGGACAACAGAGACACAACACGGATTACTCGTCGATATAAACTCGAATGTGCGCGAGGCATTGTTCCCTCCTTTTTTTTCCCTCATCCTTGGCTTCTTGCGCGATCCGGATTCGAGAGAGAGAGAGAGAGAGAGAGAGAGAATCGATAATCCCGGGATAACACGCGCGAAGGGGAAAGTTCGGCGAAACTCGGTCCGCTTTTACGTTCGATTTACATATGCAAGAATCGTCACAGTCCAGAAATTATCTTTATTTTTTTTTTCCTTTTTTCTTTTGGTTTTTAACACACGAAACGCACCTTCATCGTTCGAAATCCAATTTGCTCGTCGTTCGCGACGCGAGAATCAGTGAAGGAGAATGGAATGGTCGTGTCAGAATTTTACGTGACGGAGCCAAAACGATTAAATTGTAGTAGAGCACTCTGTATCTTTTTTTGGGGGGGGGGAATTTTTTTTTACTTTTCGATTTTTATTCTTCCGCGAGTTGGGCAACAACATACGGAATATTACCGATGAATATCTTGGAATCCAAGATATCATATTGGTGTTATCTCGTATATTGTTGATGAATTTGCGCTTGTATCCCGGAACCGTCCTTCGAAAACATTAGCTTATGATTAGCTCTATTATAATGTGAATCTTTAAAAAGGGCGGTTTCGAAGTAACATTACGAAAAGATATGTAAAACGATGAGAAGACTTGAGAATATAATATTCTATATCGAACGAAGATTCGCCAAATGTTCTCGAAGCCAAAAATTATAAATCCAACATAAATTCTCGACCGATCTTAATACCAGTATCCTAGATTCATCTAATTTGTGGATTTTGATTTCATTTGCGACAGACAGACCAGCTCTTTGCGATGTAGAAACGTCCATATCACGCTTAATCTTGTAAATGTCTCTTAACTCCCCCCTCCCTCCTCCTATGAAAATGTGTCGCGTCACTTTAAATTATATCGATATACCGATGAATTGCTTTTTTTTTTTTAAATTATCCTTTTTATTTGCCAATAATAGTCTCTTCCTGCATATGTTCTCGCGCACAATGATCTTATGATCCTGACGACATGCGGGTTCAATGCGTCAGGGATAAAATCGTCAGGGATTCAGAATTCGCGGTGGATCGTTGGGATGAGAGGAAAACGAATTAAACACTGCCGTCCGGTGAGACAGAGGAATGTGGAGCGAGTGAAAACGTGTGTATTTATTGTCTCGCGAAGACGCGAAGGCGATGTAAAGAAAAAAATCTTTGATTTCGTCACCCCCGTCAAAATCTGATGGTCTTGTCCTGTACCCTCCCGAGATTTTGGGGAGTATCGCGTTGCTGGAAGTCGGACATTCGTGCAATCATGATCTTCGGAAGGCAATGATGGATTTTGCCTCGTTGATTCTTTTTTTTTTTTTTACGGCGTCAAACCGACAGGGAAAGATACGCGGAAGACGAATAATAGAGAAATAGGTAGGGACAGGAGGAGGAGAAAGAGATGGGGTAATGGGAGGGGAGGGAAAGGTCACGAATGACAGAAAATCAATCGTTTAACGAAGAGTCGATAGGGAAATTAGCTGTGATGATGATTCAACAGATACTATTAATTTTTAATTGATAACATTAATTGATATAAAGTACATACATATATATATATATAGTATATATCTATATACATATATATGTATACCTATACGCGTACGAGCGCATATATACATATTATATATATTATATAAGATTAAAAAACAAACATAAAGACCGCAATTTAGGTAAGGATAAGTAATGAGGGTAATGACGTT